TAGAGCTAGGAATTTTGAACATTTATTCATGTATTTGTTTGTGTCTTCTTTGGTGAAGTGTCTGTTCATATCCTGTGCCCATTTTTCAATTGGATTATTTACCTTTATCTTGTTGTGGTGCTCAAGTATTTTATAAATTCTGGATATGAGTCCCTTATCTGAAATGTCATTGCCAAATACTTTTACCAGTCTGTGGCTTCCCTTTTTACCCCGTTGGAGAAGTTTTTGGATGTGCATAGGGATTTGATTCTTAGAAGATCCCATTCATCTATTTTATCTTCTCCTGGTTTTAGATTTTTGAGGATACTTGGAAGACTGTTTATGTTATATTAGGACTACTAGAATGCTTCCAAGCTTTTCTTTAATGACGTTTATAGTCCTTGGTTTTAGTCCTAGGTCCATGATCCACCTTGAGTTGGTTTTTGTATCTGGAGTGAGGTGTGCATCTTGCTTGAGTCTTCTGCAGATAGTTTCCCAATTTTGCTAGCACTGTTTGTTAAAACGGCTGTCATAAAAAAAAAAACAAAAACAAAAACAAAAAAAAAACGGCTGTCATTTCCCCACTTAACTGATTTCATCTCCATGTCAAAAATCAGTTGACCATACATAGGTAGATGGGCTGATTTCTGGGTTCTCACTTCTATTCCATTGATCTCATAGATTGTCTGTCATGGTACCAGTGCCACGCTGTCTTAACCACCATGGCAGTGTCATAGAATTTGCCTTGTGACCTACAATGTGATCTATTCTGGAGAATGTTCCATGCACATTGGAGAAGAAGGTATACTGTGATTTTTGGAGGTGCATTAGCCATAAATATCTATGAGGTCAAGTTGGTTTATTGTGTAGTTTAATTCTTGAGCATCTTTGTTGAGTTTTTTCCTGGTAGTTCTATCTTTTCTTAAGAGAGGAGTATTGAAGTCTTCAACTACTGTTGCAGTGTTGTCTATTTCCTTTTTCAGTTTTGCTAATGTTTTTTTGATATATTTTGCAGGTCTTTCATTTGGTGCATAGATATTTATTATTGTTATGTCCTCTTGATCTATTGACCCTTTAATCATTATGCAGTGACCTTCCTCATCATTTGTGATGGTTTTTGCTTTAAAATTTATTTTATCAGAGATTAATATCACTACTCCAGCTTTTTTCTAGTTGCCATTTGCTTGGTATATTTTCCCCCATCCTTTTATTTTTAGTCTTTATCTTGACTTTTCAGCTGTGTCTCTTGTAGACAGCATATTGATGGATTTTTGTTTTTAATCCAATCCACTACTTTTCTTCTCTTCAATGGTACATTCAAACCATTCACAT